ATTTCCATCCATGTCACAAATAACAGGATTTCCTTTATGCTGTGGCTGCCAAGTTTCCATTGTGCGTAAGTACCACATTTTCATTATCCATTCATCAGTCCAAAGACATGGTGATTGCTTCCATTGCTTAGCTTTTGCAGAGTGCTGATGGAAGTGCAGATGTCTCTTCACCACACTGGTTTCATTTCCTTCAGATATACACCCAGTAGTGAGACTGGTGGTTCATATGGTGGCTCTATTTTTCATTTTTGAGGAACCTCCACAGTGTTTTCCAGAATGTGTGTACTAATTTACCCTTCTACCAATAATGTTCAAGTGTTCCATTTTCTCCAGTTTTTATTTTGTGTGATTTATTTTTTCTTTTCATCCTGGAGGATTGAAACTGAATCTTGAGCATGTTTGGCAAACACTCCACCACTGAATTGCATCCATAGTTTGTCTTTTTAGCTTGTCTTTGCATTTTGATTAGCATTTTCCTCGTGATTAATAATGATAATATTTGCATGTATCCATTTGTCTTCCTTTAAAGACCAGCTGTATTACTGCTCTGGTTGGTGCCGTGAACCTGGGAGAACAGGGCCTAAAAATGAGGTGGACTAAAGTTTCATGCAATAGCCAACTTTATTCAGAGCATCAGACAATTTAGAAGACTCAAGTGAGTCAAGTATATAATCATAAGGACAAGCTGCATGTGGCAAAAAAAAAAAAAAAAGGATTTTCCAAAAGGCATGTAAACAAATAATAGTCAGCTATCGGCTGTAATCAGCTGTAAAGAATAATCCCAAGTAAACTCACTCCTATCCACTCTACCTGGGAAGGGCACAAATATGCATTTCAAGAACAACCCATGCTATGGAGAAACAAAGGTTCCAAGACTCACATCTTGTTTACTTGGAGTTGTCTCCCAAGGTCTCAGAAATCTCCTCACACAGCTTTGTTCATGGACTGTGTTCTGACACATCTGTTTGGGTCTATGGCTTTCTTTCTTTCTTTTTTTTTTAATCAGGTAATTTGGCTTAATGCTATTAAGTTTGGGGGTCCTTACATAGTCTAGATTATAACCCCTCTCCTCTGTACCCAGTATGGTTTGGTCTTGGAAACCTGACTAGGATGACAAGGAAATGAAGAAAGGACAGACACACGGACACATTTGCAGGAAAGCTAGGGTCAAGTGGGCCATACTCGCTCTGCTGAAGAGGCACTAACAACAGCAGCAGTCCTGAACCTTAGCATCTGTATGGTGTACCGCACAAGGAGGAGGGGTTAGCTAATCTCAGTAGGAGGTCTCTGTAGGAGGACAGTCTCAGAGTGCAGTCATTCCTGAGGAGGAAGGAAGCCGCAATAGCTAGTTTTCATATACGCTGGTCAAGCATTTCTAAACACTCACACTTGAACCAGACGAAAGCTTTGCCATCACCCCTGAGCCTCACCCGGAAGAAGCATTTGCCAGCTCACATAGGTCTGAGGTATTGGTGTCCTTGACACGACTGTTCCCATGTCAACTACTCACGTTCACAATTTCATCCACACCTTACACATTCACTCAGGGCTTCCTTGGCTACCAAACCCTGTCAAATTAAGTTTGAAAACATTTCCTGTAATTTTCTAGGTTTTTACTTCATTCTAATGATTGTTTCCTTTGCTGTGAAGAAACATTTCAGGTTGACGCAATCTTGTAGAAGGCATGGGTGCTCACAGATAAGCATTGGAGAAACCAGGAATGTCAATCACTCAGGGTTGTCTCCTCAAAGGAGAAAATGAATACCTGTTTCCCACCGAGAAGGCTGGGAATGGATGTTATTAATGACCTTAAGACCTTTACTATCTGTAGAGCTAGACCTCAAGAATATTTATCCCAGACTCTCTCTCCCTAGATCTTTATCTTTAGGTTTGTTTCTCAGTCAATAGAATCCATCCTTAGGGGAGCTGTCACGTGTACTTTGGAGACTGCTGACCATGACACTATCTGTATGACTGAGACAATGCCAGATCCTCCCCTAGATCATTAAGCTAATATAAGTCTATCTCTAGAAGCCATCTTCTTGGAGAAATGTCAATACTTTGAATTTCTATATAATTATTTTATTATTCTATATAATTATCCTATTACATTTATTATAGATATAATTATGCCTCCTTTTGCACCTGGAATTGTATCATACCAGGAATTTTTTTTTCTCAAATTATACTGTATTTAAATACACTTGCAATAAACTGCCTGGTGTCATACTCCAGAAGTTTTGAGCCAGCACTGGCTAAGTCATACTGATCCAAGTTTCCCATCTCCCCTCATGTGATTCATCTCTCTGCCAGCTGTAGAGCTTGCAGGGGTCCCCACCCAATCTCATTCATTTATTCCTTTGTCTTTGTAGTATTTTTATGGAGTCTCATCAATGTGATGTTTACTAACTCTAATGTCCTGAAGTATTTTTCTTATGCTTTCTTCTATTAGTTATATGTCTTGTGTTTAAGTCTAATCTAGTTTGGTTCAGGTTTTTATTACTAATGTGAGATAAGAATCAGGTTTCATTCTTCTGCATGTGGAATCCAATTTTCCCAATATCATTTGTTGGAACGAATGTCCTTCTTCAGTTTGTATTTTGAATACCTCTATTGAAAACTACTTAGTTGTAAATGTGTGAATTACTTTTAGGCCCTCTATTCTGTCCCACTGGTTTTCCCATCTGTATATTTATGCCAATACCATGTTGTTTTGATTACTAGAACTCTGAAGTATGTATTTGAAGTCAGCTAGCATATTGTCATCTGTTTTCTTCTTTTTGTTTAAGATAGCTTTGGTTATTTGGAATTCTTTAGTGATTCTATACAAATTTTAGAGTTATTGTTTCTACTTATGTGAAGTGTGGCATTATGTTTTGTTAGGGCTCTGTGGACACTAGACAGCTATTCAACTTTTTTATGTGTGTCCTCTGAATTTCTTTCATTGATGTTTATATTTTTCATTATGTAGTTGAGCTAAATTTATTCCTACAGATTTGTTTCTGTGTCTACTGCAAGTGAGACTACATCTTTTGGGGGGGCCCAAAGCAGCTTGACCACACAGCTATCATGACAGGCTTAGAGGCCCAGACACAGCTCCTGGGACAGGCTTACTGGCAGGCAACACCCAGACCCAGGAAAAGCCTTAAGCTGACCCCACCCAGGGAGGCCTGCATCTAAGGGGAAGTACCTGACGTCCCAAACATTCCAACCATTAGATAAGGTTAGATAAGATGGCCAGATGTCCCTGAGTCTAGCACACATATATTTTATATTTTACAGATACCCCTAGACAAATGTCAGCCAATCAGGGTGCTGACCCTGGAAACCCCCTCACCCCAACCTCTGCTATAATAAAAACTCTACCTTGCCTAAGCTTAGGGCTCTCTGCTCTCACTGCTGCATTGGACAGACAGAGACCAAGCCCTGGAGCTTGAAAATAAAGATTCTTTGCTTTTAGATATGGGATTCCGTCTCCATGGTGGTCTTTTGGGCATCAACACAATGTGGACATAACAGCACCTCAATTTCTATGTCAGATAATTTGCTATTGGTATGTGGAAACACTACTGATTTGTGATGGTTGATCTTGTGTTGTACAAACTTGTCAAAATTCATTAATCAATTTTAATATTTGGAGGCAGGAGAAACAAGTCTTGACACACCAGGTGGTGTATGTTCACGTCTTTAATCCCAGCACTCAGGAGGCAGAGGCAGGCCAATCTCTGTGAGTTTGAGGCCAGCCTGGTCTACAGAGTGAGTTCCAGGACAGCCAGGGCTATTACACAGAGAAACTCTGTCTCAAAAAAACAAAAAAGAAGAAAAAATAAAAATTTTGACATTATCAAGGAAACTAAGAGTTTTAAACTTCCTTTTTCACTTGCCCAATTTCTTTTGCTCTTCATGATATAGAGCACCGCACAAGGTTTTCTTCATGCATCCTGTGATCATTTATTAGAATAATCAATATTGTTAAAAAGTTCACACTTTACACAGGGACCTACAGGCTCACTGTCCAGGCAGGAAACAATGTTAATGACTAAAATGTGTTTCCCCAGTCTTATTTAACTTTTTAAATCCATTCTATCACACAAAATGTATGCATATCACCTCTATTATGAGTTCTAGAAACAGCTTTTATCTTCTACACCATAGTGCCATAATTATGGCATATCCATAGTTTGTTAAATAGGTGAATAAAAGAATGAGAGAGCTGGAACAGAGATGAGATTATAACTAGAATATAATCAAGAAAGCATAGTAAATGAGTTCTCAACACCAGTTTCAAGAATCATTAGTTTAATAACCACAGAAATTGACTGCAGGTTAATTGTTCCCACTTGATTTCTATTCTTCTCATGATGCTAGACATCTTCAAACAGATGGCCTATATACACAGGCTGTCTACTTTGCCTATCATATTTTTGTTTTTACTTTAAAATGCCTTAATTGACTTTTTTTATACAATTTTACAGTCATAGCAAAAATTATTGGTAGCTCCAGAAATATATGTTATCCTCTTCCTCTTCTTGAACACCTTCCCTCTCCTCAAAAGTCTGTACCACAGTGATATAATCATTGCAACTAAATCTACATTGACATGTTTTTATCACTCAAAAAGGTCCAGAGCTTTTAGGCTGGAGTCATTTTTGTTATTTTGTTTTATTAATTTAGAGAAATAATCTCATTTATCCACCAACAGAATGTCATGCAGAAGTTTTTTCCCTGCTCTAGCAATACTCCGTGTTCCTGTTTACCCCTCCCTTTGTAACTTCTGACAGTCATAGATTATTTTACTGTCTTCTAGTTTGCCCTTTTCTAGAAGGACACGTGGTTAAAACTGTACAATTTTTACATGTACGGTGGGCTTTTTTTCCCATTTTGTAATAGTTTTTCTGATTTTCATGGATTGATATTTCTTTTTATTACTGAATAATATTCCATCATCCGGTGTCTTAGTTACTTTCCTACTGTTGTGACAAAACACCATGACCAAGGCAAATTATAAAACAATATTTAATTGGCTTTATGGTTTCAGAAGGTCAGAGTCTATGATGGTAACACAAAGGCATGATGGAAGGAACAGCTGAGGACTCACGTCTTGATCCTAAAGCAGAAGACAGACAGACAGGCACGCGCACATGCGCACACACAGAGAGAGAGAGAGAGAGAGAGAGAGAGAGAGAGAGAGAGAGAGAGAGAGAGAATTAAGAATGGCACAAATCTTTTGAAAGCACAAGCTAACCCCCAGCGACACATCCCTTCCAACAAGGCCACACCTCCTAATCTCTCCCCGACAGTTCCACCAACTGAGGATTAAGTATTCAAACACATAGCTCTACTCCTGAGTATATTGCACTTTTTTCTCATCTATTAAGGAACATCTTGGTTGATACAAACTTAGGGAATAATGAAATACCTACTATAAACATCTATATACAGGTTTTGTGTGGATATAAATTTTTAACTTCTTTTGACAAATTCCAAGAAATTAACTACAGGATCATATATTAAAAATGCCATTAATTTTGTAGGAAACTGTCTTTATTAAGGTGGCTATGAAAACTGCATCCTGCTCAGGATAATGCAATCATTCTAGGCAAAAGAAAAATTATTCTCCTCAAACTAAAAAAGGAAGAAATATTAATCATATTCTATCACAGGTTAATTGGGATGTATCTGACTTCTCTTTATTAAGCTGGGGTAGTGTTTCAGGGAGACAGACTATAGCAATAAAGTTCTATTATCATATCACATCAAAATTACCTCCTGCTACTTGGACTCACCATTCTTGATTTGAACCTTGATCATCCAGCTCGAGGGAATGTTTAGTTTATCCAGCACAAAGTTACTTTTGCATTCTCTCTTTTGAACAGGCTACTCTTCAAGAGTAGTTTTGTTGCTGCTGTTGTTATTGCTCCTGTGAAACAAGATCCTCAACCCAGGCTGCCCTTGAGCTTCATGTGCAACTGAGGATGACACTGAACTTCCAATTCTCTTGTTGAGATCACAGGTATGCGCCACCATCTCAAGTTATGGGGTACTGGAAATGGAACAAAGTGCTTCATGCATGCTAGGCAAGCAGTCTACCAAATGAGCTGTACCCCTAGCCCTCCCCGATTCTATATAAGATAAGGTTATTGACTTTGCTATTTACATATTTGTAAAGTAATGCTAAACTTTAAAGAGTTAGCAATCATCAAAATATTTACCAATTACACAGTTTCATTGAAAAAATATACAGTATACTCATAAATAATAACTAAGGAAATCTTTGTCAATTTCACTGTACAAAAAGGCCTTTGCTGTTGCTTACCAGTATTACTTCTTGGTTTGTGTGTTTTTCCCAAAGCTCAAGTGTTGGAAATTCAATCATATAATTACGTTATTAGTATTAGGGGGTATGGCTTTCAGGACACAATTAATATTCAATGAAGTTGAAGATCCAAAGCACCCCCATTTCAAGCAAGCCCCTCACTCCAGCTTGAAACAGGCCTAAGTTTCAAAATTCTCAAGAGTTGCTGACATAAGTCCCAGAACAAAGTCAGGATGTTTAAAGAGCCGTCTGGTAGCAACTGATTAACCATGGAATGTCCCAATGCCAGAGATGGTCAAAAGTACAAAGTCAGGATGTTTGAAGGACTATCTGGTAACAATTGATTAACCACAGAATGCCCCAATGCCGGAGGTATTGTGAAAAACAACCGGTTAAAACTACAAAGTAATATAACACAGAAATTCTGAAAAGCCCCTAAAACTTGAGCCCATCAGAATTGTGCCTGTACTAGCACCCCTAAATGATGTAACCTCATGGTTTTTGCCTTTAAAACCTGAGCTTGCATATGGGCAGGCACCTCCTCCAGCCTCTACTGTGTTGGATGGCTTGACAGGTCCCTGCCGTGGCTTGAACTGCTTCAATAAACCTTACTTTTGCATTTCGGTGAGTTCATGTCTCTGGTGGGAGTTGGTGTCTCTGGTGGTCTCTTCAGGGGTCTCATGCCCAGGGCACAACAAAGTCATGAGGGGAGAGCTTCCATATTGGCATTTGTGACCTTAGAAGAAGAAGGAAAAAGAAAAGAAGGGGTAGGGAGGAGAGAGAAAGAGGAGGAGAAATGTCAGCTAATATGCTACTCTGTCTCAACATGTATTGACTTCTGCCACCTCATGATGAGGTCAAAATACCCTCCCTACACACACAGCAGGCTCAGGCTTCATGTGCCTGCACATGCAAATTTTCAGAACCAAGAGCTAAACAAACTTCTATCCTTTAGAAATCACTCAATTTATGATATTTTGCTCTTGTAACAGACACTGGACTAAGACAACTACTACAATTAATTTTTAGAAATGTTGGAGTGAAATTAAAGTCTCAATGAGAAATTACTTCGCCATTAAAATGACTATGATCAAAATGTAAACAATAACAAATGTTCATGAAGATGTGAAGAAACTATATTCAATATATGTGTTGCTGGTTAGAATGCTGGTAAAATGGTTTACTGGGGTTGATGATTGGGTATTTTTATAATTAGGTAAGTTCGAGAAGTTCTGATGTGCTTTGTACAGTAGTAAGGTAATAATGCACTTCTCATTTAAAAAAGGAGAAAGGATTTTAAAAGTTTGTACAACAAAGAAATGATAAATGTTTGAGGAATAATCATTTTTACTTGATTTTAATATCCTACAACATAAACTTATTAGAATAATAGATAATGTCCCATTAATTTTTTTTGTGTTTTATGTACAAAGTAATTTTTTTTTAAAGTTGGTGTGCTGAAGAGGCGGCTTGGTGGGTAAAAGATCTTACTATTCTTCCAGAAGACCAGAGTTTCCTTCCCAGCATCCATATTAGTTCTGAATCCAGAGGATCCAATGCCCTCTTCTGGTACCTGTGGGCACCCACATACGAATGGAACACACTCGTATACACATATATACACAAATAATAAGTAAAAATAAATCTTATGGAATTATTGGCCATTCAGTAAAAGTTTAGTAATTTCTTTGAAAAGTTTAAAAACAATGCCATACAACCCAATACTGTGCTGTTAGCATTTACCCAAGCTAAAGAAAACATTCCATATGACTTGTGGCTAATGCACCCCAGCCTTATTTGTGATAGTCAATATCTGAAACAATATGCATAGATATCTGCCAATGAATAAAAAAATATGTGCAATGAGTGAATAAAAAGTGGTGTGATAGCAACAGTGGGTCAAAATAATAAACTCCTGACTCTTCTTCTCAGTAACACACCAAATAAATATCTTCACAGTTCATTTCCCTCAGAAGGGCTGTCAAGAGCAGTTCAAATGCTTTTACCAGTCATGCTATAAGGGAAGGAATCCTCAATAATCAAGTCAGTTTCTGACTATGAAGATGAAAGTTGGCTCATCACATATAAAGCTTTAGTTATAAAGTCTCTAGTGACCTGGGTTACAGTTCACCAATTCTTTGAGTAGAGGGGACTGGCCACATACAGATCATTCTAGACCATAAGAGTTCAGAAGAGGATATATATATATATATCCTCTTCTGTGTATATATATATATATATATATATATATATATATATATATATACTGAAATTGGTGCAGAAAGGGGATTTGTAGATGAATTTCTAAACAGTCTTATTCAATAAGAAACACAGAGCCAAATACAGAGGTAAGAGCAGAAGAGATCAGAGCAAATAGCCACGACTAGCCTTAGCTTACCACCAGCAGTAGCTTCCACAGAGAGAGTTTCTTCCTGTTTGACCTGTGCTTTTATTGCCTTCCTGTTCTGCCTCCTCATTGGCTCTAAGCCCAGCCACATGACTTCCTCATCACTGCCTGTCTATACAGACCTCCAGGTCTCAATGGTTGGTACTGGGATTAAAGGCTTGTGTCACCACGCTTGGCTGTATCCTTGACCACACAGAGACTCTGCCTGCCATGTGATCGGATTAAGGGCATGAGCTACCATCGCCTGACTTCTGTTTATGACTCACTGACCTCTGATCTCCAGGCAAACTTTATTTATTAACATACAAATAAAACATCACGTTTCAGCACAAATAAAAAATAAAGTATTACCACAGTGATTTTTTTTTTTTTTGTAGCCCTGTTCCACTCTGGAAGGGTTTCATGATAAGTTCCTCCAGTGGATACTTGGTAGCTTGGCTTTAATTAACTTGCACTGGGGAGTTAAAGGCATGCACAAATACTGACATGCTGGCAGCTGGAGAGGCATTTATTCAAATACCATAAGTTCCAACTTCTATAACCTTTAGCAGAGGAATGCAGATTAAGCTTGCAGCTCTAGAAGCAGAAGGGAGTGCCATTTTTGTGCCTCTCTCTCTACACTGGAGAACAAAGAGGTAGATTCAGACAATAATGCACATACTTCCAGCAGTTTGGCTCCTTGAAGCAATAAAAAACAGGAACAGGGACACACATCTCCATTACTCTCTCCAGAAGGAGTTTATGGCACACACGGTGGTCTTTGACCAGCTGGACACTAATGCACATGATTCAGGAAACAAATGAGGGCTAACAAGCAATGGCTCTTTAGCAGCATGAGTCACAGACTCAATAGCTGATGTTTTTTTTTCCCTCAGATGCACCAAAGAGATAAACACAGGCCTGTCTATTTTTGTTGGAAAGGGGTGGTTATCACAGAGTTCTACTGCTACATAGATTCTACTAAAGGGACTAATTCTTTAACTTTTTTTCTGAGGGTGGAGGGGACTTTGGGTTCCAAAATGACCCAAACTTGCAAGGAGGAAGAAAACAAAACAAAACAAAGCTCTGTATCAGGTCCATTTCTAGTATATTTATCCTTGGGATCTGAAATTATAGCAGGGATGTAAGTGTATACATTTGCCTCAGATACACAAATCCTGGAGGAAGATAATGCCTATATTCAGCCCTACTGTGAACATAGAGCTACAGCACAATCTAACACACCAATATACCACTAATCATGTTTAAGCAATGCCTAGAGCATCTGGATTCTTCCTTAGCAGTCTCAGGCTACAGACAGGACATGATAGATCATGAACCCCAAACAGCCTCCCAAACAGACAGCAATCTGAGAAATCAAAAGGATTTCAAAGGCACCGCAACTGCCAGCAGAGGCTGGTCTGACATGATAAAGAGAGGTCATTGCTTTACCACATATGCAGAAAGTGGTAAAAAAGAATCAAAGAAATGAAGAGGCCTTGGAATTTATTCCAAACAAAATAAGATGACTCTCCAGAAACAGCAGAGAAAGATGAACTTCTATAATTTATTCAGAGGAGAATTAAAAACAGTGGCCAGAACTATGCTCACCAAGATCAAGATGGCAAGTAAGAAGAAGCTGAGCATTCCAAGAGATAGGAAATATTAAAGAGTGTCAGACAGAAACTGCAAAGCAGGAGGACGCGATAACTGAATTTAAAAGACGTGCTCAACACCATATTAGACTATGCAGTAGAAAGGATAAGTGAACTCAGACTGGTCCCTGGAAATCTTCTAATCTGAGGAGCAAAAATGAAAAAGAAAAAAAAAGGAAAAGCAATGGAAAAGAGTGATTGTAGTCAGATTTGCCAGATGCCAGCTAGCAGAACAGTTTATGCATTGTTGACATGCCACAAGAAGAGAGTGAGAATGGAAAATATATTTTAAAAAAATAATGGCCCAAATCTTCCCAAGTCTGAAAAAGAAAATGGGAAGCCCATAGGATATCAAATACAACAGACTCAAACAGGACACACATCTAGATACCTCAGAGTCAAACTGTCCAAAGTAAAGGCACAGAGACCATGTAAAGAGAAGCAAAAGAAAGCAAATTGATACAGAGGATTCTCCCTTAAACTATTAATGAATTTCTCAACAGGAACCTTGAAAGCCAGAAGAGAGTATGATGAGATACTCAAAGTCCTAACAGTGAAAAAGACTACTGTACCCAGCAATTCTGATTTTCACACTGGAGAGGTAACAAGGCTTTTCTGGAGGGGTGGGGGTCTTCAACTTTAAGTATGCTAATTGGCCATTTAAAAACCTACAGTGGAGAGTGTGGTTGAGAGATGATTCAGTGGCTTAGAGTATTTGTTGCTCTTGCAAAGGACCCTGGTTTGACTGCCAGCACAAGGTGGCATAACCATCATAACCATCTGTGGTAGTTTAGAGAATGGTCCCAAGAGGCTCATAGATTTCCATACTTAGTCCTCAGTTGGTGAGCTGCTTAGGAAGGATTAGAAAGTGTGGCTTTGTTGGAGGAGGAATGTCAAGAGGGGATAGGTTTTGAAGCTTCAAAAACCCACACCAGGATCTCTCTCTCTCTCTCTCTCTCTCTCTCTCTCTCTCTCTCTCTCTCTCTCTGCCTGAGGATCAGGATATAAAACCCTCAGCTACTGTTGGAGTACCATGCTTGGTTGATTCCCATCACGCATGATGATCGTACACTAATCCTCTAGAACTGCAAGCAAGCCCCAGATTAAATAAATTGCTTTCATCATAGTGCCTTTTCACAACAATCAAACAATAACTAAGATATCATCTGTAGTTGCAGTTCCAGGGCATCCAACTCCTTTGGGCTTCTACAGGCACCAGGCACACACAAGGTAGACACACATGCAGGCAAAATACTCATGCACATTAAATAAATAAATAAATAAATAAATAAATAAATAAATAAATAAACAAACATAAAGCATGCAGTATGAAAATCACTGGTAACAGTAAAAATCATTGTCAAATTGCAACATCTGTAACATTAAGGGCAGCAAGCAACTCAATTATGTCTCTAGTATAATGGTCAAAAGGCAGAGCTACACAAAACAACCAATGTGACAATAATTTGTTTAAAAAAATACATGTGATGGAAAGATGTAAAATGTGACAGCAAAAATGTCTATGTGAGAGGAGGGGCAGTGAAAATGTACAGTTTGTATATGGAAAAGAAAAAAATCTTCTGTCATCATTTATTTAAAGTCTGTTCCACTTAAGACCTCTTATGTTGACCACAATGTAACCAGAAAACAAACAACAAATCAAAAACAAGGTAATAGATTTTTTTTTTAAACCTGTGATACACATAGGTTTAAAAGGTAACAAAGTACACCACTATAGAGAGACAGCAAAATGCAAAACAAGATGAGAAGAAATAGCTGGGCTGGGTGGTGCGACACCTTGAATCCCAGCAGTTGGAGGCAGAATCAGGCCGTTTGCTGTGAGTTTCAGGCCAGTGTGTTTTAGTTACAGGTCGGTTACATAGTAGGGGGAGGAAAGGGAGGAGGAGGTAGTGGGAAGAGGAGGGAGGAAAAGCAGAGGAAGAAGTGGGAAAGAGAGAGTGAGAAGGAGCAAGAGGAAGAAGAGGAGGAGCAGCAGGAGGAGGACATGAATCACAAAGCAATCAGAATCAACCACAAAACAGCACTAATTACTCATTTTCAACCGAAAACAGTCTTAAATATGGGAAGTCAGGCAAGATGGATGAGGCACTGCACAGTGCTTCTTACTCAAAAGAAGGATTTAAAAAAAAATGGAGAATGAAGCATTCCTGCTCATATAGAGTGTTGGGGGGAAGCATTCTGGGATGGAGTGAGAATGGAATAAAGAACGTTTGGAACACAGACACTGCAGATTTTCTTGTTGAGAAGGAATGGGCTGTTTTGCATTGGCTGCCTAATTATTCCAAGACTGGAACAAGTTTTGGTAAAGAAAACCCTCTCAAAATGGGGGAAAATACAGTGGGAGGCTCCCAACAGTCCATAGTGGCACCACGGGGCCCTCAAGTTCTTGCTGTTGGAGGATCTCCAAACCCCCATGGGCTGTGAGGACAGCTGGGAAGATGTCAGGGAGTATGTGTCCTTACACTGGTGCGGATGGGGAAACCCAGTTCAGGTAGTGCCTGCTCCTACCCAGGCCTCTGCTGCTGCTGCTGCTGCTGCTGCTGCTGCTGCTGCACAGCACCATTTTAAAGCCAACTACAACTATGTCTCACCTCTACTGCCCTATTCAGCTTACTCTTCCATAATGCCGAAAAGGCTCCAACTCTGTGCTCTCCTCCAATCCCAATAGGTGCAGACTACATGAACATTATAGTGACTACGTCCCTCATAGTCCCCAGATATTAACACTTGCTCTGTGCACAGTTGCCTTGAACCCCCTAGTATACACACTTGCCACCCCCTCCTGACTTGCTGGAGGGACTCCAACTTTGCACAGCTCTTAGAGACACAGGTACACATCACACAAAAGAAAAGCCAAACAGTTGTGCTATATCGACCCTGGGCTAACTGGAGCTGTTAGTATTCTGAGGCACCCCTTGGCACTGCCCTGCATCTTGATGCAAAAACCTCATTTTAAGGAAAAACCTCCTCCCCTTCCTCTCTCTCTCTTCTGCCTTTCTTCCCATGAGATGTGCACCCTTGACCCGTCTCTCTCACTCTTCCTCTCTTTCTCTCTCTCTTTCTTATCTTTCTTTTTGTCTCTTTATTATTGGATGCAGCATCCGGGTCGTGAATGACTGTCCACCTCCGCTCTACCGCCATGCCCACATGGCGTGGGTCACCTGCCAGCCTGCCACTGCATCTGTTCGGCATGCCAGCATTTTTCCCTGCACATGCAGGATACCCTGGCCAGCCGGGGTCCCTCACATGCATATATTATAACATTGGTGCTAGTGACTCAGCAGAGGTCTTCCTGGTGCATTCCTCCTGCCTGCCAAGAGTCGGAGACACACTAGGAGCCCTGGGACCATCAACACTCACTTCATCTAACACAGGCATAAGCACCCCCTTTGGTAAGCCTCCCTTTGGGCCATTTTCCCACAGCTGAGGATTGGCTCATCTCTCAATCATGGTGCCAGCACCATGTGTGTTTTGGGCTTTAAGCCCTTCTGCCCATCCCTTTCCAATGGCATATGGAGATGGCCTGTGCCCACTCAATTCCATGGCCCATAGCCTTTGTTACAATGGCCCGTTGGCTATCTTGTGCCATTCATTGGCTCACTGACCCTCTGGGATGGTCAGTCTGCTGGGCCTTATACCTCACAGTGGAAAATGCACCTATGTGCCCCCCACTACCACTACCGTCAACCCATGGTTTGGGTTCCTTCCTCTGCAGCTGCCCCATCATGTGGCAGCAGGGGTGGGGTGGGGGGAGAGTGGGGAGGTGTCCCTCTCTCCCGCCTGGCTGCACTGCTACTCTGTTTCTTGGTCCCCCTCTACAGCACTGCATCTGAGCTCCAATGCGTTAATGTAAAAATTTCCCAGAAAAACTTTTCTCCATCTTTCTTTCACAATGTATGATTGATATGGCCATCTATATTTCTTTTCTGACTGACTTTTAAATGCTTCAATTTATCTGTTCCATATCTGCTTAGTTTATTTTGGGGGGGGGAAGGATTCCCCATGAACACATGGTCAGACGCCATATTTGATAAGGCGATCATGTGGTCAGGGAGCACCATCTTAAATAAGGGCAATCACGTGATCAATCGCCATCTTAAATAAGGTTAAAACAGGCCATATGGCTTCACCACTATCTTTACTAAGGGCAGCAAAATATCACTCCCTGTCCATGGCTCAAGCATGGGCGGGGTACCCAGCACTGAGGCTATCTGTACCGGGTAGAGTTCAGGAAATTTCTTCATGCCACACATTGTTTTACAGGCTGAAAAAGATCCTCTGGTCTTGGCCTGGTGTTCGTCAGTGGCTGCTCTCAGGCTCAGCAGGTGGGGCCTGGAGACCCATCCTCCCCACATGTTGGCGATATAGCCAACTTGTCAGCCCATTTCATAGCCTGACTTACTTGTGGGCAGGGGCAGCACACCCCTATGCTGGGATAATGTAGCAATAGTAACGCTTAAGAGATTTTAAATCTTTTTAAAATACCATCTACCTTATTTTTTATATTGCAAGAAGACATTTGAGAGATCTTGAACCTTTTCTTGGTAACAGTTTTTAGGAAGTGATTCAGGATATAAATACCAGTTATACATACTTTTTAACACAAATCTGTAATTCTGCTAGAACTCAAGGGTATGAGTCTACTTCTGCTGTTTTGCAGATATTCATTGTCTGCTCTTCTATGATATGGATTTTAGTACTGATTGATAATACTAATTTATGTAAAACTTTTATTTCCTTTTATAAAATAAAAATTCATATAAGACTGAGAGGATCAAAAGAAGCCGTTGGATCCACTGCACAGAGGTCAAACGGCCTCCAGATAAGAGTTTCCTCACATATCTATTCCTGAGGATGGTATTTCTCTCCCTCTTGGTCTCCCTTTCCCAATTACTAAGACCATAGGCCAAAGGTTCCAAATAAATTCATAAAATTTTAACTCTCATCTCTAGTCTGTATTTCAGCAGGCTAGCAGAAACATTGAAGCAGCAGTTGTGGACCACAACCTACAGTGCTTTACCTGCTACAGATACCAGCAGAGACTCTTGTCTATGTGATGTGGACCAGACTAGCCAAACGTAATTATTTCCTTTCTCTATGGTTAAGTCAGATGACCACATGCCTGGGTCACATGCCAGAGTCCTAACCACCTGTGCCCTGTTTCAGCTTGAAACAGCTATGGAGAATGTGTCATCTTATGCTCCCTGTTTCCAGGACAGGCTGGAGGGCTATGTTAAGGATGGACCCCCTGGCATAGTGTCTACAAAGAGGGTCTTTTTCCTTTTCTCAGAGGGTCCTTTTCTCAGAGTTGAGCCATACCCTGACTCACAAATTCATTTTCTCCTGTTCCCATTTGTCCTTGGGATCTTTCCCTTGTCACTCTTCTTTGTCTTCTCAGGAGATAGCTTAAGAAATAACTATTTCTATATAAGTCATTCAGGATTGTAGTCTGGCTGTACTCAGGAATTAGAACTATAGCTACAGGGCATTAAAATGGTGGTAGATTCAGATACCACTGCCAATGGCTTAGAAAAGGGCTCTCTTTGTTCAGGATCTATTCAGGCTTAAGAATGTAGGCTTCCCTGTCCTTGCTGACTTCATTGGGCTGTGACCAACTGGGAAACTTATATATTCAGATTTAATTAATATATGCTCTCAAAGCTAATTTAATTTATACATTTAACAGATTTTGTTCCTCTAGTCCTCAAACACCTATAGAGATCTGTAGAGAATACAGCATTTAATATAAAAGGTTTTGATGATAGAGAGATATGTCAGCTCCTGGCAGCATCCTGTATCTCCTCCAAGAAGATGGATGGCTGCAGAAGAACTTCCACCCGGAAGCTCATGGCAAGGCTGGCTATGCAGCAAAAAGCTGAGATCCTGTCCAGATTGTAAATAAGAGGAGTAACTTGGGTCAATTGTCCTCTCTGCCAAGACAGGTAGGATGACCTCCCCAAAATTCTACTTCACAGAAAAAAAAATTGTCAAATCTTCTGGGCCTATCAGCTGAACAAGTGCTGCCTTTGGGGCTTCCGTCCTCCAATGACCATGGAGAGACTTGGGATTGCTGCCTAGGTAGCTGGAAAGCTGTCTCACTTCTTAAATTTATCCTTCTCAGATCTGACAATGTTTGATGACTAGGGTATCAGTTTAACAGCCCCAATCCCAAGGATATTATATATATATATATATATATATATATATATATATATATATATATATCAGACAGGTATGCCTCATTCACAGACTTCATGGTACAGGACAGACTGGTTTCAAATATAACTCCAGAGGTTCAAAGTTTTGATATTGATAAATGAAGGTTTGATAAACTGATAGAACATTGACTACAAAGAGTTCTTAGGCATCCTTAAATGGATTTTTTTTTAACACTTTTGCTATGATTAAAAAAAAAAAAACTATTCCAGCTGTCTTACAGATACATACAGCATCCTGGGAAAAGCTCTGCTACTGTATCAAGAAATTTTGTCTGATGAAAACTAGCAATCTCCAGAGCCCATTTTTGACCTCACCCATTTTAAAGCATATTTTGCAGTTTCCCCATCCTGCCTGGGCCAAGGGACTCCCCAGATACACCAGCCCCTGCATCAGCTGGCACCAGCTCCAAAGACACCAAATGGGAGTGATGCACCCCCACTTCCAGAGAAATAACAGATGTGGTGGTTCCTGAACTCCTAAAGAACACATCATCCCTCAATTCACTGCTGGGACCACCTCTCCAGGCTCAGGCAGGCACCTGCCCAGCAACTGGAAACTGTTTTTCCAAGATGTCCCAATAAAGGGCATATTCACTTTCATGTCTCACTCATTCACCCTTGCCTCTTCTGTACAACCAAGGGCACTTCTCTGTTCCATTCTTTCTGGCAGTTGTCACTCTTCCCATGGCTAGCCCAGCTCATAAGGCCAATGGTAACAATCTATTTTTTCTCCTAGCAACCTCAAGGAACAGACTCCTGAGATCTCCATGCCTGTGGAGATGACGGTCAGCTATGCTTCTTCACTCACGCCTCCCACTGTGCGTGACTCCCAGCTTCCCCCTCCCCACTTTGCCCCTTGTCAGCTTGAAGCAGTCTCAGGAATTAAGTGCCCTTGTTACTCCACTTGCTATCCATAACTCACCTTTTTATAATAATAAAAGTGGAGGAATGTTAATATGCTGACCCGCCCCTTAGAAACCAATGTTAGTATTCTGATCTGCCCCTTGGTGCCCCACTGTGCCCTGAAGTAAAAACCTTGTAGTGATATTTTATTTGTGCTGAAATGTGGTGGTATTTTATTTGTGATTTAATAAATAAAGCTTGCCTGGAGATCAGAGGAATAAAAACAGTCATTTTAAGTAAACAAAGAAGTCAGGAAATGGTAGCACACGCCTTTAATCCTATCACTTGGCAGGCAGGAATCTGTCTGGATCTCTGTGAGTTCAAGGCCACACTGGAAACAGAGTCAGGTGTGGTGGCACACACCTTAAATTCCAACACTAGTCAACCATGGAGGTCTGTACAGACCGACAGGAATTAACAGAGCTGGACAGGAAGAGGAAGTGATCTAGCTGGACAGAGACAGCAAATCAGATGGCAGAACAGCAAGGCATATAAGTGTGGGTAGACAGGAAGTAGCTCTCATCTGTAGGCTGCAGAGTTGGTGAGGTAAGGTTAGCTGGCAGCTTTCCCTAATTCCCTGATCTCTTTATACCAATAAAATCTGTAGAAACAGACAGACTGTGACCACACCACTGCACACACTATATCCAAAGCCATAAACTACAGTAGACAATCTATATAAAGTCCTCACTAAAGCATTTAAGTTGAACAAGGGCCAACATAACCTACCAAAATAACAGCCTAAAGGAGAGAAAGTCCTTTGCTATGAAAGTCATCTTCTAAAACAGATAGAGACAAGAGATCTTCCAGATATGCAAATATCTGCACAGGAACAGAGGAAGTATTAAAAAGAAATAAACAAACAAAAAACAAGACAACACAATGCCTTGCAAAAGATCACAAAAAAATTGAAATTAATGAAATACTTGAAATTCAAAAGAATTAATCTAAGTGAATTCAATGAGATACAAGAGAATGGAGAAAAATTTCAATGAAATCAGGAAAGTAATTTGTTATGTCAATAAGAAAGTCAGCAAAAAGATAGAGATAATTAAGAAGAACCAGCGACAATATATTTCTTCCTATTAGCACATGGAACATTCTCTGGAATAGAACTTGTATTACAGCAAAACACTAGTCTCCACAATTTTTAAAAAAGTTAAATCAAACTATATATCTTTTCTTCACAGTAGAAAAATTAGAAATTAACAATGAAGGAATTCTAGAAATTATACAAATACATGTAAGTCAACCAGATAGTTTTGAATAAATAATTGGTCATTAAAAAATATAAAAGAAAGTTCAAAAAAACTCTTCAAAGAAATTAAAATGTCCACAGAATACACCAAAACTGATGGAACATAGCAAAAGAAGTAACTTAATATTATGTAATAATGCATAGTCAGTTCATCAGGTGGATTTGATGCCCTTAAATATATGCACAGAAACATATGGAGACCTGAAAGTAGCTAGAGTACTGTGCAAGACCATTAGATTTCAAAATGTCACTTAAAACTTTGGATAAAGTCCAGATACAAAACAAATGAGAAAATAATAGATTTAAGCTACTTAAAATGGAACAGACCTGACAAACATATAGAACAATATTCCCTCTATCAGCAAAATACATGTTCATCTGAAGAACACATGAAACATTATATGATAGGTCACAAAACAAGTCTTAACAAACTTACAAATATCAAAGTCATATTAAGTATATTTTCCAACCATTATCATATAAAAAGTGAGATACAGTATCCAAAAAAGTCTTAAGCAAAAATAATAAAGATGAAAGTATCACACTACAAGGATTCAAAGTAATTTATGAAGCCATAGTAATCAAAGCATAACCCAGGCACAGAGACATGCATCTGTCCCCATAGCTACTGGGAAGCTAAAGTGGGAAGTTTGTTTGAACCCCAAAGTTTGTGACTAGTCAGGCCCAATTTCAAAAACAATCAAAACACACACACACACACACACACACACACACACACACACACACAATTTATCTTTATCTTGTTTTTATTTAAACATCGGCTTCAAATAGATTAAAGACTTAAATGAAGTACTTGAAACTACTAAAACATACTTTTAAAAGGGCAAAAGACAGAAAGGTCTATGACATTGTTATATGAGGAGGTTGCTTGATCATAACTCCTAAAGCATATTGAAGAAGAAAATAAAAATAAGCAAATAACATTTCACCACATTAACCATCTTTGCATAACAGGGAAAAAAACCTGAGTCAAAAGACAGCCTATTTGTCTTAAATACCTTTCTATTGCTGGGATGAAGCACCATGACTAAAGCAATTTATAAAGGAAAGCATTTACTTGAGCTTATGTTTTCAGAGGGTCAGAGTCCATGGTGACGGAGCAATTGCATGGTGGCAGGAACAGCTGAGAGCTCACATCTTGGTCCCTAAGTAAGAGGCAGAGAGAGACATACTGGGAATGGCACAAGTTTTTTGAAACTTCAACCCTGTGACACACCTCCTCCCACAAGGCCACACCTCCCAATCATTCCCTAACAGTTCCACCAAATGGCAACCAAGTATTCAAACATATGAGTCAATGGGGGCCATTCTCATTCAAACCACAATACTATGGATTAGAGGGAAAAAAATTGCAAATCCTACATAGAACAAGAATAGAAGAAACTCTAACCAGTAACAAGAAAATAAATAACTTCATTTTTAAATGGACTACAGGCTGGCCAGATGGTGGCAGGCTAGCAATCAGGAGGCAGAGGCAGGCAGATATTTGAGTTCGAGGCCAGCCTGGTCTACATAGTGAGTTCCAGGACAGTCAGAGCTACACCAAAGACTCTGTCTCAAAAAATGAAACAAAATGGGCTACAGGCTTGAACAAATGTTTCTTCAAACAGTAAATAAAGTAGGCAACAGATATATAAAACTGTTCAACATCCTATCATAAAATAGAAATTAAAACCACAATGTAGCATCACTTCATACCTCTTAGATTATATATCAAAAAGATCAAAGATAAATGTTAATAATGACATGTAAAAAGATGAAACCTTTATATACTACTAGTGGTATTATAAATTAGGGCAGTCATTTTGGAAAACATAGAAAGTCCTCAAAAAAACTAAGAATCACCATGTTATGATCTAGCAATCTCACTACTGCCTACATATGCAAAGGAACTAAAATCAGTATGCTGAAAGATGTCTGTATTTACATGCTCCTTGCAGCATGATTCATGATGGTTGAAACATAAAAATACACCAAGTGTCCATCAATGGATAAACAGATGCTAAAATACAGGATATAGAAACATAGTGGAATAATGTTCAGCCTGAGAAAAAGAAACTCCATCATTTATGCCAATATAAGTTGAATGAACCTGAAGGTTATTATGTTAAAGAAGCCAAGCACAAAGAAGTAAATAACATTTTCTCATATATGGAAGTTAAAATTGGCCAAACTTGAAGAGGAGAGTAATGGTTACCAGAAAGAGTTGGGGAGGAAGAGAGAACAAGACATTAACTAAGGGTATAAAGGATAAGTTTGGGGCAAGGCAATTGGAAGGATAGCTTAGCCGTTGAGAGCACTCTTTTTTTTTTTTTTTTTTTTTTTTTTTTTTCCTGAGACAGGGTTTCTCTGTGTAGCTTTGCGCCTTTCCTGGGACTCACTTGGTAGTCCAGGCTGGCCTCGAACTCACAGAGATC